GAATGGGTTGCAAAGTGCTTTGAATTTCAGTAGCTATTTAATTTTACAGACCATAGATGTCACCCCACTCATATTTTATTTTTAACTTTTAGTTTTTTTAATGCCAGTACATTCATGTGGCCAAAATTCCAAAGCTACAAAAGGATATGCAAGTATAGGGAAATATCTCCTACCTACTGTTAGGCCACCTACATAGCTCCTTTGCCCAGTGGTAACTGATGTCTAATTTTTTATATATTTTTCCGGAGACATTTTATGTGAAAACCAACAGTTCTTTATAAATATTTACCCCTATTTTATAGACAAAGAAGTTGAGACTTAGAAGATTTTAGTAATTGGCTCAGGTCGCAAAGATTATAAGTGGCAGAGCCAGAATTCTGATGTGAGTCTTCCAATTAAAACTCTACTACATATTAGATTCCAAATATCTAGTGGATAATTCTTAATGGACTTCATATCTCCTTTTATTTTCTGTCCTTCCTCTAAAATTAGCTTATTCCCATAAATTCTCAGTCTTCGTAAATGGAATCAATGTTATCTGGTCACCAGGTTTGAAAGTTTGTAATAATCATTGAATCCTTCCTGTTCATTTCCTCACATATAATCTCTTTCAAAACATCTCTCATACTCATCCTCTACTCTTCATTGCTACTACTATGCTTTAGTTAGGCCATTGTCACCACCTGTCTGCATTACTGCCATAGGCTATAGGTTGGACTCCTTAACTCTCAACTCTCTTTGTTAATTTGTAATTGCCAGAATAATCTTCCCTAACACTTCAGATGTCATTATTCCTTTCTATGGCTTCCTTTTTTTATTTTCCAACAAGTTTAAATTACTCTGCCTAACTCTCAAGGCCGTCTGTAATCTGACCTAATCCTCTATATCTCTCTTAACCTCCATGCCTTTTAAACGTGTATCCTCTTTGACCACAAATATACACTTTATATTCTGGCTTAATTGCCAGAGTTCTTGTTTGTATTACCTAAACTGTCTTCCCTTTCCTTACCAGCAACCTACTACATCTTTCAGTGGTTTCCATTCTGTTTCCATTCCTTCTATGATAATTTTGCTGCTGCTGTTTTTGTTATTAACTAGGTTTTTGTTGCAATTGAAAAATTATACATGCACAGAATAAAAAATTCCTAGAGTTCAAAGGTATACATTGAGTGAAATGTAAGTCTTCCATCTCTTCCCACAGGTCTTCTGCAGTACCAGTTTCAGGTACTTTGTTACAAGCAATGGAAAAATGGACTGACCCCACTTCTGGTACCAATTTTCTGTATTAGTCTGTTTTGTGTTGCTTATAACAAAATACTTGGAACTGGGTGATTTATAAAGAAAAATGACATTTATTGCTTACAGTTTCTGAGGCTGGAAGTCCAAAGTCCCTCTGGTGGTGGCAACAGTAAACCAGGGGTCTCACATTGTAAGATGGTGGAAACAGAGGGGGCAGAGAGAGAGAGAAACAAACTCTCCTCTTCTTTTAAAGCCCTCAGAACCACGTCCATGACCACCATTTTTAATCCATTCACTACTGCATGGTCCTACAATCCAATCACCTCTTCAAGGCTCCACCTTTCAATTACCGTAATAGAATTTCCAACCCTTTTAACAGTCACAGTGAGACCTAAGTTTCTAACACAAAACTTGGGAGTATCCTGTTTAAAAGGCTTCTGTATAAATTATTTCTGTGAACTACCATTTTTTTATTGGGTTTTTCCATATCTATTAGTAAAAAATTTTTATATATTAAGATTACTGGCCCTTAATATTACATGAT